GACGGAGCAAGCAGAAGCAACAACAGAAGAACGGACACGGAAGAGCGGAGGGAGGAAGCGGGGGCCGGAAGAGGCGACGCGGGAGGAGCAGACCAGGAGGGAAAGACGAGCAGCGGAGCGGCAAAGAAGGGAAGGGACCGAAGCGGCGGAGAGGACAGGCCGCGGGAGAGGCCGACCGGCGACAAGCAAAGACAGCGAGGGAGAGGGGGGAGGGAAGGAGCGAGAAGGACCCAGGCGGAAGGAAGGAGGGGGACGCCGAAAGAGAAGAAGAAACACGCCAGAGCAGCGGAGGAGACGAGAGCGGGGAGGGGCAGGCAGCGGCGCAAGACAACAGGGGCAGGGGGAGGAAGAGGAGGAACGGGAGAAGAGGACGGCGGCGGAAACGAAAGGACACGGAGAGCACACGGGGGGGGAACAACGGAGAGAGCGGCAGGGAAGGGGACGGCAGCAGAGGGGGCGCGCCAAGGGAAGGGAGGGCAGGGGACGGCGGGAGGCAGGGCGCGCCAGCGGCAACAAGCCACGAAACCGGGGGAGACGGGGGAGGGACCGGGGGGGGGCACGGGGGGAAGAGGAGGGAGAGCGACCGGGGGACAGGGGAGGAGGAGGGAGGGGAGGGGACGCCGAGGGGAGCGGCCCCCAGACGGAGAGACACACCGGGAGCGAACGGGGGAAACAGGCGGGGGCGGGGCGGGGGGGGGGAGCGGGCGCGGAGGGCGCGCAGGAGCGAGCAGGACGGAGGAGGCGCGGAACGGAAGCAAGCAGGAGGCGAAGGCAGCAAGCGAGGGCGGGAAGGGACGGAAAAGGAGGAAAGGCAAAAGGACAGGGGGGAGCAGAGCGGGGAAGGCGACAGAGGGACGGGAGCCGAAGGGCGGGGGAGGGGGCAGGCGCGCGGGGGGGGAAGGCGGCGGGGGGGCGGGGGCGGGGGGGGGGAGGCAGGAGGGACGCAAGGAGGAAACCACCAGAACGAGAGGGGCACAACGACGCGGGCGGGAAGGCGCGGAGGGAGAGAGAGCGGCAAGCACAAGGAACCAGGGGGAGCGCACCAGCCGAACGGGGGGGAGGCGGCCAACGACGCAGAAGGCACAAGGAGGGACGGAAGAAAAGCCCAGGGAGACGGGGACAGACGAGGAAAGGAAGGCCGCGGAGCGGAAACAACAAAGCACGGAACGCAAGGGGAGGAGCGCGGCAGGAAGCGGGGGGACGCGGGGCACAGGGGGAAAAGAGGCGAAACGGGGAGGGGAAAGGCGGGAAACCAGAGGGGAAGGAACGAGGGAGGGCAAACAGGCAAAGCGAGCAAAGGGGGCGGGCAGAAGGCGAAGCGCGCAGAAGGACGGAAGACGAAACCAGGGCGACCGGCCACAGGAGGGGGCAGAACGGGAGGAACCGAGCCGCAAGGCGGGGGGAACCAGGCACGGAGGAGAGAGGGGGCAAAAAGAGCGGCAGAGCGGGACCGAAACGCGGGCGAAGGAAAGGAACGGCGAGGCAGGAACACACAGGGGGGGAAAAGAAGACGGGCGGAGAACGCAGGGGAAGCGGACACACAGAGGAACGGGAAGGGCGGGCGGAGGAGGAGCGGGGAAGCAACAGAAAAGGAAAGGCAGGGAGCGGGGGGGCGGAAGGCGGAGCGAGAAGCGGACACAGACGACAGAGAGGAGGAAACCGGAGCGCGGCGAACCAAGAACGGCAAGAAAAGCGGAAAAGGGGCAACAGAAAGGGCAAGGGCAGGCGACCAGGACACAAGACAAAGGCAACAACGCCGCAGAGCAAAAGGCGGAAACAAGCACCGGGCGCACAGAACAAGCAAGCGCAGACGGGGCGAACAAGACAAAACAGAAACAGGGCCACAGACACAGGGAAAGCCCGCAACCGGGCAGGGCAGGGGAGGAAGGGGAAGGAGAGGGCACAGACAGGCGGAAGGGGCAACGGAGCGCAAGAGGAAAAAGGCGAGGGCGGGAGCGACGCGAAGGGAGGAGGAGGAGGAAACGGCAAAGGAGCAGGCAGAGGAGAAGGGAGGAAACGGGGGAGCGGCGGGACGGCGACAGACAGGCAGGCAGACGGAGAGCAAGCAGAGGAAGAAGCAGACAGAGCAACGGAGGAGGGGGAAGAGAGACAGACGCAACGGGAAAGCAGAAGGGGCAAAACGGGGGCGAGCGGGGAACAACGGGGGAAAGGAAGAAGAAGCGGAAGGACGAGCGGAAGCAAAGAGAGGAGCGGCGAAAGAAACGGAAGACAGACGGGGCAGAAAAGAAGAGCGCAGCACGCAGAGAAGAGCCAGAGAAGGAAAACGGAAGCAAGGAAGGGGAGAGGCGGAAGAAAAAGAGCCAGAGGAGGGACACCACAGCGACCGGAGAGAAGAGGCGAGACGCGGGCAGAAAGCCGAAGGAGAAAAAGGGGCGGGGAGGGGAACGAGGAGAAGCGGCGAAGAACGCACCGAAGGGCAGCAAAGAGGGGAGGGCGAAGACCACAGCAGAGCACAGGGAGGAACAAGGACAGGCAGCGCAGGCAGGGCAGAACAAGGAAAGAGAAGGAGACGAGGACAGACGGCAGAGACGGACCGGGCCAAAGGAACGCAGCAAGCGCAGGAGGCAAGGGGCAAAAAGAAGAGGGGCAAAGGGAAAGAGGACACGCCCAGGGGCACGACGGGCAAACAAAAGGGCAGACGCGGCCGGAAGGGGAGGGGGCGACAGAGAGCAAAGGAAGGAAAAAGAGCAGAAGAAGACGAGGACACCAGGCACGAGACAGGGGGGGGCAGAAAGGCAGAAGGGAGCGGCGACCCCACCAGAGGGCGGACGGCAGCGACAACGGAAGCGAGAGGGGAGGGCGACAGGGGGGGGCCAGACAGAGGACAGGAAAAGGAAAGGGGCGGAGGGCGGGGCAACCGAGCAGGGGAGCGGGAACAGAGGGAGAGGGACAAAAAGGGAAAAGAGGGGGGAAAGGGAGCCGAAAGGGACCAGGGGGACCGCAAGGAGAAGAAGGCGGCGAGGCAGGGGGGGAAAGCGAAGCGGAGGAGCAGCAGGCAGGGGGGGAGCAAAAGGGGAAGGGGGCGGCGAGCGGAACGGCCGGCAGAGGGAGGGACAAAGCAAAGCAACGGGGCAGGGAAGGAACGCGGGCCGCAGACAACGGGGAGGGGGGGACAAAGGAAACGGCGGGGCACCGAGCCAAAGCGGAGGAAGCAAAACGCGGGCAGAGACGACGGGGGCACAGAAACGGCAGAGAGAGGGAGAAGCGGAGAAAACGGGAAGCAGGGAAAGGGGGACCGAAGAGCAGAAGAGAGCCGAGAAAAAGGGGGGGCGCAGGGGCGAGGGGGAAACAAAGCAGAACGCCACACAAAGCAGGAAGAGGGAGCACCACGGAGAAGGGCGAGAGCGGGGCACAGAGACCGCAGGGGGCCAACACAGACGGAAAGCAGGGGGGGAAAGAAAGACAGAGGGGGGGGGGAGAGGAGGGCGCGCGAGACAGCGGGGGAGACGGGCGGAGAGAAAAAGACAGAAGCGGCAAGGCCGGGAAGAACGCGGGGCAGAAGAGGGCAGAAGGAAAAGAAGGAGGCGAGAAGAAAAGGGCAGAGAGGGAGGAGGGAGCAGGGAAAGGAAGGGGAGAACGCACGAGAGGCAGAGGCGGCGCCGAGCAGGGGAGAGCACAGGAGGGCGCAGCGCCGAGAACGGCGCAACAGAAGGGAGGGGGGGAAAGAAAGAAGCGAACGGGACAAGGAAAGGGCGAGAGGGAGGCGACAGGCCGCACAGCGGCCGACAAGCGCGGCGGGGCGGAAGCAGGACACACAGCGGGCAGACGAGAAAGAGGGGCGAGCGGAGACCAGGAACGACCAAAACACCAGAGGAGAGCGGGAAGGGAAAGAAGCCAAAGCGGAAAGGAGGGCAGGGGGGGGGACAAAGGGGAGGGGCGGGCGGAGAGAGAACAAAGAGGGAAGGGCGAACCAAAGAGGGAGGAGAGCAGCGGCCGGGGAGACGCGCCAAACAGGCGGGCCGACAGAGGCGACAACAAGAGGACGCAAGCGGGGAGGGAGGCAGGAAAGGGGGGAGAGAGGACAAGCCAGAAGAAGCAGGAGACACAACAGGGACAGAGCAGGACAAGGCCGCGCAGGGAGCAGAGGCCAGGAAGAACAACAGGCAGCGCCAAACCACAAGAAGCGGCAGAGGAAGAGCAAGAAAGGGCGGAACAAGAGACAAGCGCAGGAAGGAGACAGGGAAAGACAAACCCACCAGAACGCAGAAAAACCAGCCAGCAGAGAACAGGAGGGGAGAGCGGGCAGAGGGAAGGAAAACC